CCCCCCCACCTTACGTTGTGGGATTACACTGGGTTTGTTGTTGTATAACATACAAGAAGTAAGTTCTAAAGACTTTGTCTGAGTTTTCCTACGTGCATCTTATTTTTTGGAGAAAGAAAGTTCCAATGAGTTTATAAATTGTGTTTCACTTCTTTGGGGTGCTATGGTAACATTTGTGTTCCCCGAAGCTTTCATGGATGTAAACAAGTGTTCGGTCTCTGCTATTTATGAATTTCTCCCAACTGACTTATCTGTTCTAACAATTGAAGTTGCTGGAAGTGAAGATGCAAATGTTTACTTCTATGATTTAACTCGGCCAAGGAATACATGTGTTAACAAGCTTCAGGTATATAAAAGTGTGGAGCAAATTTCAATCTCCTCTCACAAGGAAAAAGGAACTAACACATTAAGGTATGACTGCAGGGTCATGGCTATCCGGTCATAGGTATTGCATGGAATCATGGAGAGAACTTGTTAGCTTCCTCTGATTTTGGCGGTACAGTCATAGTATGGAAGAGAGCAAAAACAGCTTAATACCAAAGTGCTCTATGCAGATGAGAGCTAAAAGCAGTTTGCAAGCAGTTTATCTGTTTGGTTCTGGTGTGGAATTTGTGAGAATTGTAATTGTTACACAGCAATATCAGTGTAGCTAACTGAAAGTTTATCAGGAGAAATGCAGTATCAGGCTTTTGTATGCTGATAGCACAATTGTATATCAATTTTTCCACTGACTTTGTACAATGGGTATATTTGTATGTCAGTGAATTGGAAGGAATTACATGGGTTTCTCTTCAGTCAGAAATGACCTTTCAGTGCATATGTCAAATGCTTCCCCAGTTTAAAGTGATACCCAACAGTATAGGCCGTACACGCTTGTGTATACCAAGAACCTTGATACCGATTCTAAACAGGTGAAGTGAGAATACTAAACTAATCAGCTGGACACACACAGCACAATGAAGAAACACAGCACGCCATGACCAAGAAAATGCCAAAAAAAAAGAAAAAAGAAAAGAGAGGTATATGAACCTCTCACATGTACCAAACACCCAACAGTAGTTTTTAAAAGGGTACTGTTAACAGCAGGGTTATTGCTCGTGGAAATGGCAGCACCTATTTACACTAAACTACTTTACTTTATTATAAACACCCTATTAAGATATACTCCAACGTGGAAGAACAGAAGAGAAAACCTACAGTACATAATTACACACAGCCAAACACTTCCTCGACCTACTTAAAGGAAACAAGGTGCATGCCTATCAAACCAGTAGACAACACAAAGTTTCACCCAGTTTCCCTTTACATCAGTCCAAATGATAGTTGCTTCTGATGCAGTTATAATAGCCTCAGTGTTTGCTTGCATCTGTTGGCAAAATAAGAGAAATGTTACAGTTCCTCCAGCATATGCAGCAGTATCACCTCCGTCGGCGTTTGGATTCAACCTGAAATACTCAGGTCAAATTTTGAAAATTGAGGCTTCAATAACATATCTATAGGACAATAACTACCAAGGAAAATATTAAATAAAATCTACAGAACTCCAGCTAAGAGCTTACTCTTACAGAAAATGTTTTTTTGATAACAAAATCCAATGAACAACGCACATACGCTTTTGCTTAGTTTATTCAAAACATCATCTCCTCTCTCCTC